GAAAAAAGCCGGAAGTGGCGCTGTGGCTCAAGTGGTAGAGCGCTAGCCTTGAGCTGAAGAGCTGAGGGACAGCGCCCAGGCCCAGAGTTCAGGCCCCACCACCGGACCCCCCCAAAAAAAAAAACTATGTATTGCAAAGCCATTGGGAAAGGGCAAAAATAGTCTTCATATTTGTGAACTAGAAGACTTTAGTCTAATCTTTTCAGTTTAAAGATAAGAGAAATGACTCCAAAGTCATATGTCTAAATGAGAACAGAATTCAGATCTCAAGAGGAGAATGTAGCCCAGTATCCAATGTATATCCTCAAAACTTCAAGAAGAGTGCAGGAAGGGATGGGTAAGAGAGGGATAGATGAGAATGTTGAAAGGGGTGTCATGGATCAGGATGTATTGCATTCATAAATTGCTGTATTAAATGGCAAGTCTGTTGTACCAACTACTTACAGATACTAAAATACTGATTAAGAAACTCAGTTCTCAGTACATTGAACTAATCGATGTCCTTTCAGCTAATTTTTCATCCTCTACAAGTAAGAGTCTTTGAAGAAGATATGAGAAATATATGAGAAATATACTTAGTTTGTGTTCTGGTCCATAGTTCATCATTAGCTATTTTACCTTTCATCTCTGATCTTGGCTCTTGGGTATCTTCAAGGATTTTGCAGTAGTAAGGAATTTTTATGTGCTATTTCCCAACTCCTAATGAGTGTCTTGGTCAAACCATTTCTCTGAAACTTTAGTTAATTTGAGAGATGCATACCATCTGACTCTCCTCCCTTTTGATTGATTTCAGAGTGTGGAGTTGACTGGATAGTATGGATTTCATAGTATGGAATGCGGATGTGCTTACCTGGTGGAATTCCAGTGCGTTTGTCCCATAGAGCCTGTTGGCAATGCTGAGGGTGTACTTAGAGTGTGGCTGGTTGATCGGAGAGAGCAGAACTCCAAGCTCTGAGTGCATCCTCCCAGCTTGGCTGCACTAACACCAGTAAACAAAGAACGATACGTTACATTGCTTGATTAGTTGCCATTGGAGGGTTCTAGATACTATGAAGACAGAATCTGGAGATCAAGGTGTTTGCCTTGAATAAAAGGGCAGTGAATGCAAAGATAAACAATCGTTTGAAGCATGTTTCTTATCTAGTTGTCTTTACTACAATAATCGTGGCACTCTATGACTTTTGATGCGGACTTTGTGAACGTGTTGGCCCCATTATTTTTTTAATTTTTTGCTATTTAACAAGGCAGTTTATGAATACAATAGATCTTGATCATGTCACCCCTTTCAACATTCTCACCAATCCCTTCCCGCCCCGCCCCTTCCCTAACTCTTCTTAGTTTTGAAGGAAATACATTGGATCCTCTTCATTGGCCTTGCTATTTAATTCAAATTATTCATGGTATCCTAATGGGAATCTAGGACAATAACCTAAAGTTTTATTGATGCCTTTCTATTTATAGCATTGCTTTTCTTCACATTACCTTTAAGCCTTCTTGTTCTATGTGACTCTAGAATCAAACCCTTCAGCTCTTCACCAACCAGGCCTCACACATTCATGTCCCTTCATGCTAGCAATTCTGCCAAGCACCTGTGATGTATTTGACATATGGCTAAGGCTTCATGCACACTACAGGACCATGCCTATATTCCCTAAAGCAACGGTTCCCAAATGATGACCTCTGATGTTCTAACAATAAGTAGGGTTCTGTGAAGTAAATTTTCTATACATCTGTACATAGTTCAGTATACTTTATTTATTTTTCATTATGTTTATTTTTTTCTGGTCTTGAAGCTCAACCTCTGGGCCTGAACACTGTGGCTGAGCTTCTTTTTCTAGTCAAAGCTAGCACTTGACCACTTGAGCCACAACTCTACTTCTGTCTTTTTCTGTGATTATGAGAGAGGAAGGTCTCCCAGACTTTCCTACCCAAGCAGACTTTGAATTGTGATCCTCAGATCTCAGCCTCCTGAGTTGCCAGGATGACAGGTGTGCACCACCGGCACACAGCTTGTTAAATACATTTTCAAGTTCTTTCTACAACTATTCTTATGTTGGGCCTCTAAATCTTATGTCAAAATAAATATTCCTGCATGAAATAGCACTGTTCTAGAGCATGTGGGCGGGACAACATCTGTTCCATTATTTAATTATCTGACAAAACATCATGTCTTCTCAGCCTGCTCAGCCTCCTCAGCAGACTGGAGAGACAGAGAAAAAAAAACCTAACACTGACAATAGGAGATTAAGTTTTGGCAGGAGTGAATCCATTAACAAAATCTGTGGGTCTTTATTGCTATTGTTACTACATTGTATTAAACTGTATCAGTTGCAGTGGCTCACAACAGGGTCATAGGAGGAGACCAAGGGAGGCAGAGCTAGCTCCTTTATGAGTCCAGTGGGAGTTCTGCAACTCCACCCCAAAGTGGCTTCTTGATCCTTTTATGTTACAGCATTTGCCAGCTCAGCAATGACATTATTTTACCTCTGACGAATCCTTCAACCTTGGTTTTAAGAACTCTGCAGAATGATGGTAGTGAAGCACCTAAAGGAGAGAGGAGGTGTATTGTCTATAAAAATGAGCTGTAGATACCTTTCCACTTCAGATCACAACCCATACAAATAGCTTCACAATTAGCAGTATTATGCTCTAAATCCTAAATTAGGTCTTCACACATCTTCTTTTAATCCTTCCATCGTATGAGTAGATCGTTTTACCTCCATTGTGGTAGGGGAATGGATATCTACCAGGTCGAGTGTCTTGCCCCAGACCATTTTTGTTAGGCTGCAGGGGCAGAGTTCCTAGCATTGAGGCCCTTTATTCCCTTTTCTATTCTTGGACTATTAACTAAGGCAATGCCCCTCTGAGGCCAGTTGAAACATTGCATGTGTTTCCAGCACAAAGAGAAACAAGATAAGCAAATACCTTGAGAATTGTTAAGTGATATTCTTCTAAACACTGTACAATGATAAAAATAGACTGGGGGGAATATCACTACCAGCCTCTGTTACCCGAAAAGTCACCCTTCTTCTCCAAATGTCAGTTTTCCCACCTGTAAACTAAGCAGGACAATCCCTACCCGCTACACAGGTATTATAAAGAAATGGGATGGTTTTCTTTTTGTGGAAATAGCAGTAACTTGGCAGGTGAGAGGGAAAGTTTGGAAGCTGTTGTGGCTGGGGAAAATCTCTGTTCCGTTCTTTACCTTTTCAACTTGGTGTGCGCAGTTTCCTCTGGCACCGAGAAGGATCATACTGAGAGCATAAAACAGACTCAGTGGAGAAAAGAAGACGTTCTCTCCTGCATGGCTACAGCTCAGCTCTTTGAACACATCAAGGCAGAATTCCACATTTGTGGTGCTGAGGGAGCCCATGTTTGTGCCAATCACTGCCTGTGAACAGAGGAGGGAGAAATCTCAGAGTATCACCTGAAGCTGCAGTGCATGAAGTTCCGTGCCTGAGCACGCTGATTCATAGAAGATTAAATTTCTCCTCATCCAATAGCACACAGCTTACCTGCTAAGACTGGTATAAAAATGACCTGTAATTGTTCTGGAACAAATGAGCAGGGGGAAAAATGGATCTTTAAATGCTTAATTTACATATGTCATCCTGGTATTTGTGCATGACCAAAGAAAAAAATGCTTGAGTCCCCAGGCTCAGGCCAACAAGCTATGTTCCTCACTGCACACCCCACCTTTGCAACTGCATGGGAGGGAGCACCTCTCAGACATCAACAATAATCTTTGGATAAGTTCTTGGCACGTTTTTATTTCCATGGTGCCTAATTCCCAGTCCCCCTTCAAGAAAGCAAACCAACACCAATGACGAGGTGGGGAGGTGGTCAATGCAGCCCCCAGGAGCTCACAGGGAACCCGAACACCAGTGAAAACTGCACAAGAGGAAACTCTGAAAGAAAAATAGATGACGCTGTCATTTGCCTGCTTCGAAGATGAAATAAAGCATGTTGGGAAGGAAGACTTGCTTGCTTTCAGTCCCACAAATCCTGATTGCACACTGCTCATTTTAGAATTGTGGATGCCAAGTTGATCAAGAGCACTTCCTGGTGGATTCTGGTGGCTCACGCCTGTCATCCTATTCAGGAGGCTGAGATCTGAGGATTGTGGCTCAAAGCCAGCCTAGGTAGTGACATCTGTGAAACTCTGATCTACAATTAACTGCCCCCTACACACACACACACACACAGAGAGAGAGAGAGAGAGAGCCAGAAGTAGAACTGTGGCTCACGTGGTATAATGCTAATCTTGAGCAAAAAAAAAAAAAAAAGCTCGGGACAGTGCCCAAGACATTAGTTCAAGGCTTAGGATCAGCCAAAAGAGAGAGTAAGAGTGAAAGAGTGAGAGAGCAAGAGCAAGGGAGAGAGAGAGAGAGAGAGAGCGGAGTCCTTCCTGTCCTCGGGTAGGCTCCATTCATCCGAAGCTTCATGGCCATCAAATACTTCCTCACTTTGACTTCCAGGAAGCCAGTATCTTTTGATCCACCTACCTCCTGGTCTGTTCCCCTCAGTTTCTCTCCATTGTCAACCTCCCCTACGTCATAACACATCAGAACTCAGATGTGCAATCCCTCTTGCATTTAGAACTGTAGATCTCATGTAGTCTCGTGCCTTAGGTGTCACTATTAACACCTTGTTCTAGTCTGCATGTGGAATGTCCCTTAAAGGTCCACTGCTGGATGTTTGCTTCCCAGCTGAAGGAATGCTACTATTTAGGAAGTCCTGAAAATCTTAGGAGCTGAGAGTCTAACTAGAGAAAGTAGATCACTGAAGACATATCCTTATGACTATTCCTTGGACTATTTCTTCCCCCTCTGTCACTGAAATGTGAGCCAAAATAAATCCTCCTCTCCATTTATGGCTGCTTTATTAGATATTTGGTCAGAGCACCAATAAAGCCGTCCTACTTCTGCTTTATGCCTAAATGCTAGTCCACTGTCCCGGATAGCTAATAGTTGAGGCTCATCATGACTCAAAGCAAATGCTTAGCTTCCTAACGCCTTTCCCTAGCCAGTTCCTGCAAGCTTTCCTCACTTCTGTAAATGACATTTCTATTTTTCTACTTTTGAAGACAAAAAGCTTGGGAGTTTATACTTAAATCGTTTCTGATTCACATGTAACATATGAAAACACTCTGCTTCAAAAGCATGCTCACTTGTCACACTCTCTGATTTTACCACCCGGGGCAAAGCTACAACCTTCTCTTCCATTAATACGGACATAGTCCCCTTATCCAGGACCATCTTCACTCTTCACCCTCCTCCATGGCATTTCCCAGAGAAGCGACAATGGTATTTTTTAAGGGTTCCATTCTCCTCTCTATTCAAAGAATCAAGTCACCTGCTCTCCTCTCCGTGTCTTCACTGAGAGGCTGTGTGGTCTGACTCAGCTACCTCCCAATCTGCATGTGCTCTCACTCTGCCACCAAGCCATTCTACTCCAACCATGTGGCCTCTTTCTACTCTTTGACTTCCATGATAAGTCTGCTAGTCTCGGAGCTTGAGCTCTGTCTGTCCTTCTGTGATGTTCTTCCCAAAGGTACTAAATGGCAGCTTACTCCTCTCTCTAATCATATAGTATTCCACTGATGAAGCTTTCCCTGACCACTTCATTTGAACATCTTCCTCCAGCGCATTAGCTTAGTTTATTTTTGTCCCTGGCACATGTCACCGACTGACTTACTGCACAGGCATTCATTGACTGATCTCCTCTATCTAGGGTACCACCAGAAAAGACAACAGTGTGTCCTGAGAAACCTTGTGCAGACCATTGAGAAGTCACAGTACCCCAGATAGTAATCACAATGGGGCTGGGTCTGCATGCCACCCAGTCAAGGATTTATACCATTTCCATGATGCAGCCATCACCACGATGCATCTCCACCCCGAGGATTTTGCCCAATTTATTCTCATTTAGCTCTGCCCATCTTACTATCACATTGGTCTATCTGTCCATTAGAATGCTTTCCTGGTTAGTCTATCTTCTCTCTTCTTAGATGCCTTCAAATACTCTCCAGATAGTAATTCTTAAAAGCCTGTTGATGGCTCAGGCTTTACCAATTTTATCCCCTTCTTCTGTGCTCAAAGAACCTACTTTGATGCCAATTTTTATGTGGCCAGGAGCTGAGAGAAGGCTTCACCCTTCCCAGTCCCCAGAAGTGAGCCTCGATTGGCCTAAACCACATCAGTGACTGATTTAGAACTCAGAAGATGCGATAACTCTTGCTAATAAGACAGGAGAAATTGCTGGAGGGTTTCTGGGAAAATGCCCAGTCTTTTTTTTTAATTGCTCTGTTCTTTTGTTTATCTTCCTGACAAGAAGAGCTTCACAGATGGAAACCATCCTTCTTCCTCTCAGAATTGTACCATCTTCATGTGACTACGTCACAGCTATTTTGTGTCTATGAACTGGACAATGAGGATGTCAGAGAGAAAAGCTGGAATGCTTGTCAGGGTAGATGAAAGTTCTTCGTTAGTATTTAAATAAGCCATTTTAACTGAGTGTTCTGTGACTTTAATCTAAAAGGATCTTAACTCGCTTTAGGGATTTCTTTATATACTCTCATCCTCTAAGGCCAATCATCCCACTGAGCCCAATATCACATTTTTCTAGTATAACTATATCTTCTTTTAAAAATTTAATCCTCTCTGAGAGCTGAAAATCCTTTGTACTGTTACCTCTGATTTTTCTAAGTAACAATAGCCCAGGACATTGTAACACATGGTCAGTATTCAAGCCTAGCTGTGTGCATCTATTTTAGTTACTAATTCTTCTTGTTTCCACTGGGTGTATCTCTGTGCTAAGCTCACTGAAGTATGTTCTCTGGGGTGTGACCTTATTTGTCACTGGCTCAGGCATTTGAGGCATGCTTCTCACCAAAACGTAGTGCCTTCTTCCCTGAATGTCAACCAGAGCTGAGAGAACACAGCCCTGAGACCAGGGAGAGGAGGAGAGCTTATGGCTCATCCGCTGTCAGGCAGAGAAGGACCAGCAGGAAATGTGTCACCTGTCGACTGTCAAAATAATGACTATGGCATTTACGTGCTGAACATGATGACCATACATCCTTGTAATTAAACCTCATTGCCCTGAAATTATTGTTCAGGAGAATGTACTGAGCATGTACTAAATCAGACCAGCTGTCAGACCACTCCACACAGTAGAACAGGGCCACCGGTTAGACAGGACTAGACCAAGGTTATAATTTTCTTTGCTTTCAATGTGTTTCTTAAAGATATAACAAAGAGTTTTGCTCATTATCTTCTCTCACTGAAACACAAGCCTAAAATCCTGACGTTAGCAGAGTGCTAGGCCCCAAGTAAAATCTGCTACTGCTCACCATAATGTATGATTTAAATAATGAAATTTCACTCCATAATGAAGCAAGTTTTCTTATGCTTTTCTTATGATACTCTGGAAGATGAGGTAGATGGCATTCAGATGATTGTGTTCATGTTCTAGAATGTAATTTCAGATGTATGAGTAAATGTAAATTTATATTTATTAAATTGATGTCATATTGTTACTATAAGAGAGTCTGTGCACATCTATCTATCTAAGCCCTTACAGTTCCAAAGGACTTGGAGCATACTCCTAAGGGCACTCATTGTCTGCTGGCACTTTTATTACTGTAGATGTGTTTCTTTGTTTCTCCCTTTATAAGCATTAGAAAAGAAGATTGAAGTAAATACAGTCCTTGATTCTCTTCTTTGTTTTGTTTTGTGCAGTACTGAAGTTGAACTTCAAGTTGAACTTGTGCAGTACTTAGGCTGAACTTCAGACTCAGTGCTGGCTAGCCTGGCACTTGGGCCACACCTCCAGCCCTGTTTTTTCAGGTTATTTTTAAGATAGGATCTGTTGATCTTTTCTGACCCAAATTGACTCAATCTATAATCCTTCCTTTCTCAGCATCAGAAGGAGTTAAATCTATAGGTGTGAGCCACGGGACTCCAGCACAATCTTCAATTTGGGACACAAGCCACCAATCTGTTACAAAGCCATTCCTTCCCTTGTTTATAGGCTTACTCCTAATTCATTCTCTTATCCCTCTGCCCCCACAGATAGCAATTTTAATTTGCTTTAAACATATCCCCTTAATATGTGTTTTTATAAAAATATCCGTTTTTGTTATTTAATGCTCTTTTAATGTTCGGAACTGAGGTTCTGGAATGTGGTTTAGTGTTGGTCTCTTTTTGTTTTGGCAATGCTGGGATGGATCCCAGGTCCTTGTGAATGTGAAGCAAGGGCTCCATGGCTGAACTACATCCCTGGCCCTCACCCATGCTACTCAAACAACAATGTTACTTCACTTCCTGCTCTTCCATCAATCACATTTTTGTGTATCCCTTCCCTGGGGAC